GGCGCATCTTTTAAAAAAAACACTAACCGCGAGATCCTGAACGTACACGAGAAAAATAGAAAATACTGAGAGGCTCATTCATTATGATGCACTCGATAGAAACTTTCATAGTTCTACAGTCAATAATTGTCATACGGAATCTCAGTCATACACATCAATTCCATTTTAGATGAGCATTAATTTGGTATATAATACATTTTTATATCATCTGTAGTTTCAGCTCTATATTATATAAATAAAATAAAAAATAAAAAATATTATTTCCAACCGTGTATGAAAGCACGTCTAAGCTGCTGAAATGATCCACTTGCTCAGAAAAAAACGATAAACTTTATGCACTTAAATGGTTTGTTACCGCATCTTTGCTTCTGCGAAACCTAAAAGAGTTTAGAAATGGTTGCACTTCTCTATACCGTTTTAGATTTCATAAACAAGCCTTCTTTTTTACAGAGTAGTTGGATTTCTCTTATACCTGGTGTTGTTGTATCCATCCACAACATATCGATCTTAAATACAAAAGCAGACAATAAAAATAAAAATAACAGATACTTATTTAAATGAATTCTTACTTTTTCTTCTGGAGTTAAAAGAGACATAAGATTGTCTAATCTTACATCAACTGGTAATGTTGGATCTTGGAACGGATAATCATAAACTAGTTTACATCTATGTCTACTGTATACGTATAAGGATCCAGATATGTATAAAACTGCACTAATAAGAGGTATAGTAAATGCAACTAATTTCATCTGTCTGTCCTTTATCTGAAAACTTAAGTAACTCACAGTTAAACACTCACTGATCCAATGGTCAATTTTATTCAGCAAAAATGCATTTTCGACAAAATTCAAACAAACAATGGTGTCTTCTGGAAACAATAAGATCACTTCTACCACCTTCTGATCCTTCGCTATGAATATCACAAGCCAAATCGGGTTACGAATGTCGGATCTGAATCCGATTCAAACTGTCCAACAAATTTTGAATTTTGGTCCGTATGATCCGAAAATTTCCATTTTTGGGCCCGGGTTTTATGCGAAAT